GAACGCAGCAGAAATTCTCACATGGTGGGCGGAGTGGGGTGGTGCTGCAGAGTGGTGGTGGGGGGTCCCAAGGGGGTGGAAGAGGGTCTCACCCACTCTGCACCTGAGCTTATACCAGCAGGTAACACCAGCACAGGGTAGCCGGAAGCTCTCCCACACACTCAACAAGCCTGGGCTAGGACTGGATCTCACAGACATGATATCCTAATTACAAACACTACTACAACAGATCCCTCTATTCATTAAGAGAATGTAATTATATATCTATCCTAATCATTTTGAATACACAGATACAAAATGGACATTCATTTATATATCCCATTTTTTGGTTAGTTCCATCATTTGAATATTATAGGTGTGTTAACTCAGCAAAAATATTCTAAAAGAGTCCGATAATCCATAATAGTCCTGGGTCTTCTGCTTGACTGGCAGTGTCAGAAATTGTTGACCTGAGTCCCCTACAGCTCAACATAACAATATGGCTTTACTTCTTGTACTTCATTTTTATACTTTTCTGCTGGATGGTTAAGACCAAGATAAAGCGAGACCTATGCAACAAGAGTTGTAGTTTTTGGATCTGATAAGGTCAGTCAAATCCACCTCAGGATTTATCCTGAAATCCTGTAGAGAATTCCTTTTTTATTTCAGAAAAGGATTCCACTCTGAGTTCCTCTATGACTTTCTGCTGTTGCTTATTTACTTTTGATGCTATTAATTCATACATTTCAGCTGAGCTAATGTCCTCTGCACTTGTTCTGGGTGGGCATTGGGTTTCCTCCATATATTTCTGCATTTGTTTCTTTACTGCAGATGCTATTAATTCAAGGATTTCCTTTTTCATTTCCAATCTGAATTCCTCTATACCTTTCTGCTATTGTTTCTTTATTTCAGAAGCCATTGATTCATTGTTTTCAGCTGTGTGATTCCCTATTTGTTCTGTGTTAGTGTCCTCTGCACTTGTTATGAGTGGGCTTGGGGTCTGAGATTGCATTTTGCTCCTTCTCATTGTCATTTTGTGTAGCATTGTCTTCTGACTTTTGTTGTAGAGCTTCAGTGCAGTTATAACCTTAGCACCTACTGAAGTTCAGGTGCAGATCTACAAAGTTCGGATTTATCCATCTGTGCCTGGCTTGGGTCTGGCTGCTGTGCTCAGCTCCTTCCTGCTGCTGCCCTTGGGAATGAACCTGTTGTGCCCCTCTGGCAAGATGTTCTGCTCCTGGACTACCTGAGTGGTTCTGTCTCCTACTCTCTCTGCAGGTACTGCAGCTGCAGAGTTTCACCCCAGGCCTGTATGCCAGGCCTAAGCTGAGTCTGAAGGAGACAATGTGGAATAGGGGGTAGAGGAAGCTCTCCTACACATTCACTGGGCCTGGGCTAGGGCTGGATCTGTGGGTCCAGAGAATGCGGCAGCAGTTATCATTCAGAGGTTGGGGGGGGGTTAAGGGGGTGTGGAGTGGCGGGGGACGGTTCCAAGGGGGGGGAAGAGGGTCGCACCCTTTGCACCCTTTTTACCCCATGGGTCACACCAGCACAGGGTAGCCTGAAGCTCTCCCTCACACTCACCCGGCCTGGGCTAGGGCTGTATGTAAAAAAAAAAGGTCTTTTCATACTTGTTGCCAGTCTAAATACTGTAGCTCTTTGAATTCAGCAAATAACACAATACAGTCTAATAGTTCATAATAGTAGTGAGTTACCAACACAACTGACAAAGTATCTGAAGTTGTTGAATTGACAGCTTAGCATATTAAGATAGGTTTACTTTTTATACCTTGTGGTTACACTTTTCTGCTGGATGGTTAAGACCAAGTTAAGGTAAGACCTATATAATTAAAAATGTACCTTTTGCTATCTGATAAGGTCCATCAAATCCCTTCAGGATTTACCCTGGGAACATGTACAGCACTTTGGGGCTCTTCTGTCAGTGTCAGCCCTCTGGATGAGTTTTGGCCACTGCTGGACCAATTTGTTCTCTGTGAAAGGCTGAGTGAACTTTTCCTCTCTAGGTGACTCTCCTTAGGCACACTATGCACCATTGATTACTTTCCTCTCTGGCCCAATAATCTTGATCAGAAAATTTGAGACAGCTTCTCTAACAGCAATCAAACACCCATCATGGACAAAACAGAACAAAAAAGGGAGATATATGTAAAGAATCATTTTGTAGTGAAAGAAATTTTATGTGTATACAAGACAGTTAAGATAGATATACAGCTACTTTCTCTTAGTTCAATGAGAAGAAAGGTTTGTACTAATAGTCTTTAGACAAGATTTCATGTCTGCATCTTGTCCTTTGAATAACTACTATGAAGACAACAATATGTACTGTATTAATTATTGTAACTGTCCTACTAACTAGTTTTTGTAATTATTTCATTGCTAATTTTATCTTTTCTCTCATTAAAATGAATAAAAGTATGAAAAAATATACTAAATGGATTTATTTCTGATTTTATTAATTTTGTTTTATACTTTTTATTATAAAAGTTCATAAGTTCTCTGCAATGAGGAGACTGAGGCAGGATTATAGGTGTGAGTTCAAGCTATGGCTACAAAGTGAGTTCAATGCAACCCTGAAATTCATAGGAAAGTCTTGTCTCAGACAAAAAATAGTTTTCAACTGTTGTATATCAACATTCTAGAGCCACGTGGATTTAAAGAATTCACACACTCAGTGTTACAAAGTGATATTCATCACCAATATGGTAAAAATCATGTAACACTTGCACATTATATTTACATGATATCTTATGAAATGACTGTCTACAGTAGCACATGCCTGTACTTAGTGCTCTGGAGTCTGAAGCAGGAACATTACCACAAGTACAAGACTAGCCTGGACTACATGGTTACTTCAAGGCCATCCTGATCTATATAGCAAGACCCTGTCTCAGTAAACAAAGCAAAAAACAATAAATTAAAATTGTACTATATTTATAAGATAAAATGTGCAACTGTCTTCAGTCTCATTTTATACTTCAAAGAGACCAAATATGTATAAAAAGTTTAACACTTAGAATGAAGTCCTATGGCTCCCACTTTAAGACTGGTATCACTGACCTTCTTGGTGTTCAGTAATGAAGGCAAGTTGAGCAAATGTAAGAAACACAGAAGTGCTAAGAGGATGAGCACAGCCATTTTGCCAGCTTTTGTCTCTGAAGTCAGCCAGTACTCATGGAATGACTGGAGTTGTGGAAGAGACCCTGAAGGTCTGGTGAGTCATCTTATCACTTAAGCAGGAAAAATTTTAGACTTCAAAAGACAGGAACCAGCCCCCTTCACCACCTTGGGAACTTTGCTGCACTGTAGTCCCAAACACTGTTGTGGAAAGAAGACGACCCAGACATTTATGTGTTATGGTGAACTCTGATCCCTCCATAATCATTAGAGATTTGCTAAGCTGCAGCTCTCCACACCACCAAACCACAAGCCAGGCTGACTCCTGAGAGCTAAGGGGCCTTGGTGATCCCTTCCCTGCATCCCAAACAGTAAGAAAGTCTCACTGAGTTGCAGTTCCCCTCCCCAACTATTTCAGCCAAGTTGGTAAGCCCTAACCAACAGGGAGAATGGTTAGTACTTCCACAACACCTCTCCAGAATTTATTATTGGTTGACTTCTTCATGATAGTCATTCTCTCTGGTGTTAGATGGAATCTCAGTATTGTTTTCACTTGTATTTCATGAGTTTCCAATAATGTTGAACATTTTTTCCTATTATTAACTTTCTACTTGTATTTCTTCATCTGTGAAGTACACATTCATCGCATGTGCACATTTTTGAACCTAGTCTTTGAATTTTGGTGTCCTGATTTTTAAAATGTTCTATACATTTTCATATGTTCTTCACAAAAGTGCTCTGTCTGAGGGAGACGTGGCAAATTTTTTCAAATTCGTGACTTTTATTTCTATTCGGTTATTGACTTCTTTTAATACGCAGAAACTTTTCAAAAAGATGAGATCCCAGTTGTTGATTCTTTGAAGTACTTTCAATGCAGTTTAGTTTTTGTTCATAAACTTTATGCCTACTCCTATGTCTTCAACATTGCTTCCCCAATAGATTCACTTTCAGTTTTAATATTTAAATCATTGATCCATTTTGACTTTAGTTTAGTACATGGTGATAGACACGGGACTATTTTTGAGCATGTGGAAAGCCAGTTCTTCCAGCACAATTTATAAAAAGAGGTTATTTTTCTTCCAATGAACATATTTGGCCCCTTTGTTAAAGATAAGGTGGCTGCATTTGTAGTAGTGCCTGTATCCTTTAATCTGTTCTATTAATCTTTAATGGAAGCTACTGTTACTGTTTTTTGCTAGTAACATGCTAGTTATGGCACAGTAGATTTGTAGTTTAATTTCAAGTCTGGGATTATAATGACCCTTGCTTTTCTTTTTATGCCTATGATTTATTTTGCTATTGTAGATCTCTTCTGGTTCCTTTTAGAAGGGCTTTCTCTAGGCCTGTGAGGCATACTAATTTTATTTTGTTTAGAATTTCATTTAAGCTGCATAAAAATTTTGGGCGTATTGCCATTTAGACAATGTTTGTTCTTGTCAAGGAGTAAAGAATACATTTTCATTTTTCGAAAATCCTATTCAGTGACTTTTTTCAGAGTATTGTAATTTCACTATAGAAACAGTTTATTTCCTTTTTTACATTGATACCTAAGCATTTAAGGTCTATGAATTTTAGTGTAAGAAGTGTGGTTTCCCTACTTTCTTTCTTCGTGCCTTTCTTGTGTTTGATAGAAATGTCATTGATTTTTGAGTGCTTACTTTGCATCCTGTTATGGTACTGAATTTGGTTATTAAATCTAAAAGTTCCTTGGTGGAGTTTTTGGGCTCTTCTAGATGGAGTATCATATCATGTGCATATAATGTTCATTTCACTTCTTCATTCCCTATCCTTGTTGCTTTAATTTCTCTCCCTTGTCTAAATGGTCTGGATAATATTTCCAGAAGTATAGTGAGTAGGAGTGGTTTGGCATATTCTGAAACACTGTTTTATTTTTATTTCTCTCTTTAAAACAAAAGATCAATTTGACACAATTTGTGATAATTTTTATGCTTTTAGTATATTATGAACACTATGGAGAATTTCTAATGTGTAGATTCTATGATTCTATGAAATTACTATGGGTTAAGAGATAATTTGTAAGAAGTAGGCCATGAAAAATGTAAAGATTTGATAATTCAAGGCTTCACAATAAAATCATAGGTATTATGCTATGACCTCCCAAATATGCAAAAGACCAAGGTCAGGAAAACATCAGTATCTGTATAACATGTAGAAATTTTCAACTATCTTCCCATGGAAACAGCTTTGGGGGGTATCCTGCCATCCTCTCCCGATATATTTTATCAAATACTTCAGCTTGGGCTACAGTGAAGTGATTCTTCCAGTCCCCAGTGACTCCTGGAAAACAGAAATAGTTTTAGATTAGATCGAGGGATGGAGTCTAAACTTCATCACATCTCATCAATCAAATTCTAGAATAAACTTAACCTAGAGAAAGTAGCTGGCATAGGTGAAGTGACAGTTGAGAAACAATGACCACAGAGTGCCTCTCTATGCCTGATTGTCTAAAATTTTTACTTTTTTTGTGTGGAACCAGGGATTGAACTCAGGCTCTTGCGCTTGCCAGGCAAGTGCTTATTCTACTGAGCCATCTCCCCAGCTCCTAAAATTTATACTTTTATTTGCACAGAAACAATTTCATTCTTCCTTCTCTCTCCCAGAAGATTCTACATATAGTCTTTTAGCCACAAGCCTGGCTAGCTAAATCTTTTAAAATATTAGAATCTATCCTTTCTCAGTACGTCTGTTTTTACTGGATTGCACAAAGTCAACAGCATTTATGATTTGGGTTAACTTAGCAGATTGTGATTGGAATGTTTAGTTCTCAGAGCAGGAAGGCCAATTATGGAATATTAATGATTGATAAGTCTACATATTGTGTAGATGTGAGTTTCTTTTTATATTAATATTTGATTTTCAAGAAATCCTTCAAACACCTTTATTTTTTGCTCAGGCTTTCACAAGGTAGCTAACATTTTGTGGGTTATTTATGTAGTATACATTAAGTTTCTACAGGACTGTTGGCTGAAATGCTAGTTTATTAAGTTTGATGTCCTGAGTGCTTATGAGGATGCTGAGAGAAACATTTGTTTTGGGTACATCTCTTTATTTGTAAATGGCCATCTTGTTCTATGTCTCTTTACACTGCTCTTCTTCTGCGTCTCTTTCCCAATTTCTTCCTTTAAAAACGCCATTCGCATTCAGCTACGAACTGACACAGTAGTATCATATTAGACTAATTACCTCTAAAAATACTTTCAATTCTGTGGCATTCAGAAGCTTCCAATGCTTCATGTCAGTTCTTTAGTGTAGACTACTCACCCCATTTATTTTGGTTATGAAGATGTGTTTCTAAAACTGTGTGAAATGCTATTATTAATAATGGCAGAGACTGTATTAATTCCATATTCTATGTTTGCTATTGCCTGTAAATGTTTAGCTCATAAAGATGCAATGATATAAAGTTTTGAACCAATAATATCATAAAATCATTTTTATTTTTCGATTTTTAGGGAAGATCTACAGGGTGTTCAGGGTCTCACAACTAAATCGGATTCATAGTGATCTCCCTGTTTACAGTCTCCCAATAGCTGTGATTACAGATGCACATTACCAGGCCCTATTGCAAGTGTGGTCTCAGCACACCCCGTAGGCACAGCCTGCACAGGAGACCCGAGGGTCAAACCCCCTCATAGAATCTTGAGGTTCTATTTAAAACATTTCATTATGAATATTAAAAGCTTCAACATTTTAATCTGTTAGTTTATGAATTACTACCACCTGTTGATTGTTGTGCTTCATCAAAATTAATAATGCATATATTCTGCTTGATTAATTATTTTTTGGTCAGGCAACTACTACAAATGTGTCATCAAATTCCAATTTGGTGTCTGGTAATATAGTCCATAATAAAATAGGTACAGATAATAGTAATTGACAAGAACTACCTACTTAATGCTTTGGAAGTATCCCACAGACATAGCTTAGAGACTTTTTTGAGAACCTTGGTGATATTGAGAAGTGTAATTTTGAGGTGTAATTTTTGGAAGGGGGTTAGTTTACTCTGAGTATGTGCATGAAGAAGACAGTGAGAGGAGAGAGGAGAATTCAGGCTTCATTGTTCTCCACTCAGAGTACAAACGAGAAAATCTTGAACATTTAAACACTTTACATTCTGTTCTAATGAAGAGAAATATCTGGCATGTCCCCTAAGAAATTTTGAAAACAGAGAACTTTTTCTTACCTTTTCTTGTAAATGTCAAATTCTTATTTTTAAAATGATCAATCATCTGTTTGTTACTGGACAACTGGTTTTCTTTCATGTATTTAAAGGAACTATACTTGAGTACTAAATCTATTTCTTCTGGTTTTAATTTCTTTTCCAAGAACTCACAGATCTTCTCTACAGTGCTTCTTGTATTCTGAAAGAAGAGAAACCCAGAGCAATAATTGTTGAAGAAGAATAAAGAGGATAAAAGATAGAAGTGATGGAATATAGAGAAATGGAATGATAAGGAGTCCAAATATATCAAAAGCAGAATAGCTTGGATGAAAAGGAAGAAGAGAATGAGACAGGCAAAATGAGACAACCTGAAGTTTGTGTGTAATGCAAAGTTGAGAAGTACTTCCAGTGCTGGTATAGCACATCATATGAACAGGATCTGGGACTTTTATGGCCGCTCTTAGAAATCTAGGCAAACAACAATAAGCCTAAGCAAGGAGTGGTCCTCACATAACGTGAGAAAGATTAGCGATTATACTAAGAAATGACTGTTTCCCATAAGTAGTGTTTGAATAATACAAAGCATTTATAAGATATTTAGTGATCTCAATAATTTCTATTTGCTCAGAGAGTACAAGAAGTGCAGTCTTTGTGAAAACGAAGATGTTTTTTGTTACATGATCATCAGCTAATAACCAAGAAGTAGACAAAATGTGGCAACCATTAATACGTGTTTTTGTGTGTTTTCAAATGAGGCTGTTGGAGGATGAAACTTTGAATCCTAAGTTCAAAACACAAGACTTCTTTGGAAAGACATAGTTCATGGTGTGAACCCAAAGAGCTGTGCAGAAATCGCCTCAGGAAGTGCTGGCTGGCTTTGTATCTGTTCTGGAGGGTTAAATCTGTATCTGCATTATTTTCTCTTTTCAAACTGTTGAGTCACACAGTTTTGTTTTCATTTACATTCTTTGTAACTATAATTAATTTTACTGGTACCCTTTAGGAATACATAATTATCACATTTATTAGAATATGTTTATAATTGTAAATAGTACTTCTTGATTTTTTTATTCCCCAAATCCCTCTCCTCTCTTCAACCCCTATTTCTCTCCTTATTTCCAAAAGCTTGTATTGAGTTTTTTCCATAACTTATTTATTTTCCCTTTATTCATTCATTTTCTCTCCACTATCTCTTTTTCCCCTTCTTATTTGAATATTCTCTTCCTATTTCCTAGTACCTGTTGTAAACCTTAGTTATTATTTACCCTTCCAGTTTCTCCCACTAGAGAAACAATGTGGTATTTAAAGGTTGTCTGATTTATCACAATTAGCAATACGTTCTATTTGTTTCTTCTTTCTTTACTCCCTCTCCTTTCCAAATTCCTTTGTTCCCTCACTCTTTTATTTTGAATAGTGTCTTTGCATTTCAAAATATCTTTTATACAATTTCCTACTTATTTACATATTTAGTATCTCAATATCATACCAGAGACACAATGTGATATGTATCATGCGGTCAATTAATTTTAGTGCAGAATATGTTATTAGGGTGATTGCATCCATTTACCTAGAGAAGATGCAAGTTGATCCTACTTTGTGGCTCAGTAGTACTTCATTGTACAAGAAAATTCATCTTCCTTATCCATTCTTTGGTTGATTGGGATTTTGGTTGAGTCTAAGATTTTGCTACTACACACTGTGCTGAAATAAGCATGGGTGTGCATAAATCACTGTTGTCTGATATTTAAAATTTTTAAAAGGAATGAAAATAGTAAAAATATATTAGAAATGATAGAAAATTTCCCATGACAAAATAATAGGAATTCAGCAATTTTTGTGGTATTGCATATTGTGTTCAAATTCATTTTTCAAATTACCACATATAAGTATGCAAAAAGAGAAAAAATCGGGCCTCCAAAATTCAAAGACCCAATCCAATAATGGGCATCTGAGGTGGATACACACTTCACAAATAAAGAGATACAAATGGCAAATAAATATATGAAAAAAATTCAGCAGAATTTGTCATTTGAGAAATGCAAATTAAGATAACATCGAGATTCTTTTTCATCCCAGAAGGAATGGCTGTAATGAAGAAGAGAACTACTAATAAATGCCGGAGGGGCTGTGGGTAAAGGGACTGCTTCTCCACTGTTTGTAGGAGTGCAGACTGGTACAAACATTATAGATATAAGTGTGATGATTCTTGAAGAAACTATTATTAGAGGTACCATTTGATCCCTTATGAGTATTTTTACTGAAGGACTGAAAACATCATACCGCAGTTATATAGGTGCACCCATGTCTATCTTAGCATAATTTGTCATAGATAAGGTTTTAAAATTATCCAAATGCACATCAACTGATGAATGCATGAAAAAGATGTAATATTTTTATAAAATGGAGTTATTATTGAGCTACAAAATATAAACTTGGAACTTTTTTTTTTTTTTTTTTTTTGGCCTCTCAGGATGCCTTCAGGGCAGGTCTGGTTTTCCTTGAGGATGAAGGGATCGAACCACAGCATCCTGAGCCTGACTGCTTTGTTTCAGCAGGTACTTAAGCATCTGAGCTAATGGACAGACCCCCTAAACTTGGAACTTTTATAGGTAAATGGATGTAACTAGTGAAAATACTCATAAGTGAAATAAAGCAGAGCTGCATGTGTGAACATCATATTGTTTCACCAGTGAAAGAACCTAAGCAAGTAAATAAAATTTGAAAGGTACAATGGATAGTATGAATGATAAAGAAGGTCTTCAAACAAAATGAACATCTGTGTCAAGGAAACGGAGAAAAGAATGAAAGAAGGAAGGGAAAAGTACTACATATGTATACTCATAGGATCGCTTGGATCATTGTACTGCAGATTTCTGCTGGTGTTTTGAAAAGAACAGTTAGTAATTAAAATTTTTTCTCTCATTTTTTATTTTTGTAAATTTTTTTTCAGAGTTTGAGTTTTATTATCATGCCACTCAGGCCTTGATGGCGAACTTGTGCAGAGGGTACTGTCACTCCTTCCGCTGCTGCCTCTTGGTTCTCATCTTCTCCTCATGCTCAAGCTGGCTGTGCATGCCTCCTGTCTTCTTGCGCTGCAGGTCCAGGGGCTTCTTGTCCTTGTAGTGTTTCTTGAAGTTTTCTTTCTGGGTCTGAGTGATGACAGTGAGAACACGGGTGATGGATTTGCGGATAATTCGGATCTTGGAGAGCTTGGACTCTGCCTCACTTTGGCGATGCGCAGCTGTGACAGCTCCACCTTCAGGTCGTCCAGCTGTTTCAACAACTGTTCTTCTTGCCGCGAAGATCCCTAGCCTTAATCTTGGCCATAGTTGCAAAGTCAGACGCCCCCGCCTGCTCCAAGAGAAAGACCCACTTTTATAATTTTTTGACAAACCTTACAGGCTTACATGCATAATCTGAACAGCTAATTTTGAGACAACTATATGTGATATATCTTTTTTTTTTACTGAAATTCTGTATTTTTCTTAATGTTTTCGCTATTATTTGCATTCTCTTTAAAAACAAAGAAAAATTAAAAAAAATACCCTTTAGAGAACTTTGGAGAGCAGGGTAGGCAGCCGTGATATTTTCATTTGTTCTTTTTCATGGAGGTATCTTATTTCTCCATCAACTTGGAGCAATAGGTTTGCAAGGTACATAAATCTGGATTGGAAGTTGTCTTCTCTCATGACTTGAAATACTTCATATTCTTCTTGACTTGAGGGTCTGCGTTAAGAAGTCTGTTTTGATTCTGATTGCGTTTCTTTCATGGGTGGTCTGTTTGCTCTAATAGCTTTATTTTATTTTATTTTTTTTCAAACCAAACTGGTAGGACAGTTTCAATAATTAACACATTGCATACATTCTTCCTAGTGGTTAATTGCTGTACAAGATGCAGACATGATGTCCTACTTACAAACACCATTAGAACAAATCCCTCTCTAATAGCTTTGAATGTCCTGTTCTTGTGCTGAATTTCTGGCACACTTTTTAATAAATACTTTGTTGCAGATATATTTTGAGCATGGCTAATTGAATTTCTATATGCCTCTCGTATTTGTAGATTAAATTCTTTATCCATGTTTGGAACTATTTTGTCATTACTTCTGTAAAGAGATTTTTAATGGTGATTGAGCTATCTTTGTCTTTTTGTTAACACATTGTAGACAGTTGGATGCTTCTCTGGAACTCACCATGTTCTCAGCAGCATCACAAGCCCTCCCCACAGAAATAGTCCCACCACCACCGAGCATCATGCTCTGAGTCAGCCTGCTCAAAAGTGCTCTTACACATTGTGAATTGAAACAAAGAAAAAAAGCCTGAGGAAACCATGAACCAGAAATAGGGTAGAGCCAGAGTGAAGGGAATGAAGACCTGAGTGTTAGTCTCCTTCTTAGTTGATTTTCATGACACTGAATTTTGACAAAGAAGGGAGAAAACAAACTCCTCAGAGAGGTGGTGTCAGATCAGACAGAGTACAGGTGGTGAGAAGAGGGTGTGTACTGAGTGCAAAATGCAGGTTACCTCCTTCAGTTCTTCATAACTGAGCAGCAGGAAATCTTTTTTCTCTCTCATGGACAGCCAGCCACGAATGTGCTCAAACCATGATCCATATGCCACTGCATGGGAGATGCAGATGTTTGATAGATTAAAAACTCTACAAGTTTGGGGGTCATGTGTATAAACATTAGTCTTCACCAATCTCCTTCCACTGTACTAAGGTACAGACCACAATTTAATCTTGCATAAACTTTCATTGTACACCATGAATTTTACACATATATGCATGTTGTATGGCATAAAACACCAAAGACATGAGGCACTTTTTCTTCTAAGTGGTAATGCAGAGGGTTTAGTAAGAAAAATGCAAAATGTGTGTGTTACTGTTTCACTTAACAGTACAGTCTCCAGCTATACAATTTCCTACAGGTAACAGATTAACCTACTACATGGCAGATAAATACTTCATCATGCATAGATGCCATATTTTCATTATTCATTCATCTGTGAATGGACATACAGGGTGATTTCAGGATGTATCTAGTATAAGTTGTGCTGCAATAAATGAGGCTATGCATGTATTACTGTACTATGCTGTTGCTTATTCTTTCTGGAAGATATCTAGAAGAAGAATATCTGGGACGCATGAAGCTTCCATTTTTATTTTATCTATTAGTTTGTTCCATTTTTTCTTTTGGAGGCAACATCTTGTTATGTAGTTTAGTCTGGCTTTGAGCTCACTTTGTTGTCCAGACTGATCTTCAATTTCCAATAGTCCCTCTACCACAGCCCCCTGAGTGCTGGGATTACTGATGTGTACCACCACGCCCAACTTGCTTATTTTTGTTTTTAGTACACGTTGGTAGTACATGAAGCTCACATTTACCTTGGATATGGGTAAATATACATAATTCAATTCATTTATTTCATAATCCATTTCTCTCCCCCTCACTTGTACCTTAATTGTACTTACCCCATTCTCATTATTGTTATCATTAATTGTAGCTTCTAATCTGCCATCTAATGTTTACATCCCTTGTGTTACTTTTGATCCTATCCATGGATGATATTTGTGGTACTTACCTGACTTTCCCATTTTACTTGCCCCTTACTGTTGATCTCTGTACTGGGGATTGAACTCAGGACCTTGTGTTTGTCATGCAAGCCTTATTCTACTGAGCTATCTCCCTGGCCACCCTTGATCTCTGGACACTCCTACTTTTGGTGAGATATTCACTACCGGTCTCTTTTTGTCTATCCTTTATTACTCCTTTTTTTTTTTTACTTTACTCTACTCAAATAAGAACATTTTCAAATAATATGATATTTAAACTTATATGTTTGATTTCTTTCACTCAATATTATACTTCCCAAGTACAACCATTTTCTTATCAATGTCTCTAATTTCTTTTTCTTGATGACCAAGTAGTATTCCATTATGTATAAATACATTTGCTTTATCCAGGTGTCTGTTGATTGCTGATTTCACCAGAATTTAAATTTTTGTTTTTTGCTTATTTTTTTTTTTTTTCGGAACCGGGGATTGAACTGAAGCCCTTGCGCTTGCCACGGAAGCACTTATTCTACTGAGCCATCACCCCAGCCCTGATTTCAGGATTTAGTTTTTAAAATTATTTTATTAACGATAATAATATATATTTTTTTAAAAAGTAAAGGTTTATTTAGCTCACAGTTTGTGGAGGTTTGAGTCCATTCTAGGCTGGCTCCAAGGCAGAGTGGCACATGGCAGAGGGCAGCAGTTCATGGAGGAAGAGCAAAAAGGAAGAAGCAGCTAGAACAGCAGCAGAGGCAGAGGACAAGCCTCTCTCCTCTCCTTACACTGCATCCAGGCTATCTGCCCCAGGCTGAGTGTAGCACACACACACATAATCCCAGCATTGGATTATGAAATTATCCACAACCGCTAGAAGTCCACCTCATGACTGAATGAGGCTTTGAGGGGGACAGGTAGACACAAACGATAACAGGTATCATCAGAAATCTAGTCTGATGCCAACTACAATGAGAATACCAATAGATATCTACAACACAAAAAATTTACTTCAATTGTCACAGGGGAGGCAGCTCTTCACATGTGAGAACTACATGCCCTATGCACATGTGTTGCTTATATTGACAGTGGAGAGCTTTCTGTCCTATATATCAGACCATTCTTGTCACCTTTCTTGGCCTCTTGCTTTTTATCATTAAGTTTATTAGTACATTATAGATATACATAATCATACTTTCATTATATTTTCATTACTTTTTCTTTTTTTAAAAATTTTATTCATTCTAATGAGAAAAAAGATAAAATAGCAATGAAATATTTTTAAAACAGGTTAGTAGGACATTTACAGTAACTGATACATTGCAGAAGACAAGATGCAGACATGATATCTTGTCTAAAGAATATTAGTAAAAACTTTTATTTTCAGTGAACTAAGAGAAAGTAGATGTATCTATCCTATCCTGTGTATACATATATATTCCTCCCACTTTTTTTTTTACAATAAATCTCTCCTTTATTTACACTTTTGTGATGTTAGTAATGCATGACAGTAGATTGCTAGCAGTTGATAGCTAACCTTAACCAGACAAGATGTTCATCTCAAGAGTGAGGTAGCTTGTTTGCTTTAGGCACCAGGCCAAGTCCCACCTACATATGTTTGATCAAATTCCTAGCTTTGTGGCTCCCAACATATCCCTCCTTTTCATTTCGTTTTTTAAGAGATGGGTGTTCCACTGGAATTGGAGAAGCTATATGTAGAGAAGGCTTTAAAGGGCCTTTTCATACTTGAAATCAGTCTAAAGATTGTAGGTACTTGAATTGAGCAAAATAATGCAACATAGTCCAATAGTCCATAATAATAGTGAGTTAGCAGCACAGCTGGCAAATGTCTGAAGTTGTTGACTTGTCTATTATAGCTCAACATATTATATATCTTTACTTTTATATCTTGGGGTTACACTTTTCTGCTGGGTAGTTAAGACCAAGTTAAAGCAAGACCTATATAACTAAAAATGTAACTTTTGTATCAGTAAAGGTCAGTCAAATCCCCCCAGGATTTATGCTGTAACCATTTATGGCACCGTGTAAATCTTTTGTCAGTGTCAACCATCGGATGAATCATGGCCATTGCTTGGAAAATTTGCTCTCTGTGAAAGCCTGAGAGAATTTTCTCTCTCAAGGTGACTCTTCTCAGGCCCACTGTAAGTCATTGAAAACTTTCCTGTGTGGCCTCATATCTCCTTGATCAGGAAATTTGGGGCAGCACTGAGTTACAAGATGTCACAGCTCAGGTTCTCTTATGTCCTGAGTCCTTACTGCTCTTGAAGTGCTCGGGTTGAAATATTGGCTATCCTTGTAGCCCCTCTATTTGCCTAATTTTTAGTCTGCAAATTTTAGTTGTTAAATATCCAGAAGAGAAGCTTAATGATATTATTACCCAGTAACAGAGGCATTTGAGCTTAACATCACTGTCTGTCTGAATATCAAATGCCTTAGACATAAAATGGAACCTCTATTTTCCAGCAACCATGGATATTCTAAAATTTAAATCCGTATTAATGTGAAAAACATTACACATTTTTAAAAAAAATTTATTTATTTATTTGTGTGTGTGTGTGGCCAGCTCAGCCCACCAGGGGGCGGGGCTGGCTGGCATGTGGTGCTGGGGGATTGAACCGCGGTCCCTGTGCTTTGCTAAGCTTGTTCTAAGTAGGTGCTTTAGACCACGGAGCCATCTCACCAGCCCCAACATTACACATTTTACATAGAAATTTAGAAATCAAACCATATACAACATTGTAGCAGGACAATCTTATAACTTTTTTGTCTCATGTTTTCTTTTATTATCTTTTAAAATTACTTTAAATAAAGTCTAGCAATAATCATAATGATATTAGGAAGAGTATACAATTAGATGACCAAAATGACAGGTATTTCAAGCATGGTTTTAGTATTACACATTGCTATCCTCAGTGTAGTTGCTTAGTTCACAGATGTTGCCATATAGAGATAGTCAGGGTGAGAATTCTACCCATTAACTGCCATTTTCAAAAACATAATGGAGATTCTTAGGACCCTTGCCTGAAGCACCTTGTTTAATGATGATTAATCGACATTTCCTACATTTTCTTCTTTCTCTCTGCATTGTTTAAGCTTTAAGTTCTCACTTTGCATTTAAGTGTGTTATACCTTTCAATTTTAATTTCAATTTTGAATTCTTACACAAGGGCGAAAATATTATATTTACACATGAGGGTCTGGTTCATTTCATTTATGAGTATATCTTAAAGTTGCATCCACTTATATATGCAAGTTTCAAGTTTATTTTTCTTTATAACTGAGTAATACTCCATTGTATAAAAACACCACATCTTTTTCATCCAACCTTCAGGTGACGGGCATTTTGGTTGTTTCCAAGATTTTTCTATCACAAATTGTGCTGCTATAAAAATAGGCGCATATGTATCACTCTGATATGATAATTTCAGTTCTTTTGGGAAAATTCCTAGAAAGGGATAGCTGGATTGAATGAAATTTCCAGTCTTATTTATTTGAGGAGTCTCCACATTGATTTCCATAATGGTTGCACCAGTCTACTTTCCCACCAGCATTCCATGCAGCCTCTTCAACATTTGTTTTTGGTTGATTTATTTCTGATAACCATTCTTTCTGAGGTGAGATGGTATCTCTGTGTTTTATTTTTATTTTTATTTTTGTATTTTAGGGAAGGGTCTACATAGGGGTTCAGTGTCTCACTACTACATTGAACTTGTAGTGATCTGCCTGTTTACAGCCTCACAACAGCTGGGATTACAGGCATGTGCTACCATGGTCAGTCTCAATTGCCCTCTTAGTGCACCCCAGGGTTGGTGCCTCTATGGCAGACCTGGTGATCAAAACCCTAGCCCCTGAGCCTGCTTTCAGGTGTTTTAATCAATTGAGCTATTTGGCCAGGCCTGTCAGTTTTGTTTTAATTTGCATTTCACGAAGGCTAGTGATGTGGAGCCTTTTTTTTCATGTATTTATTTACTTCTTGTATTTCTTCCTCTGAGAAGTGTGTGTTCATCTTGGATGTCCATTTCTGGATTGGGTCTTTTTTTTGGATTG